GGAGGGGAGGGAGCAGCAACTAGTAAATAAAATCCCATTTTTGTTCTCTTTTGCATATCAGCCCACCTTTTGCTTCTCAAAAACCCAAGTAACCTCCAAGGCACCCTATAGTTGAATTTGTACCTTAAGAAAAGTTCTAATAGCAATTTATAAAGCTTCCACGTGTCACTGATTAAAATCTTTATTAGGTCAATTTCCAAGAAAATTATAAAAGTAAAATTAAATTAGTTAATAAGAAATCCTTATCACATACTCCCTCAGTCCCAGTTTCAAATGACACTTCTAAATCTTGCAAAAAATTAAGTCTTTGAACTCTCATATTTTGAACCCTGTCATTCATCTTAGATGGATGTAGCAAAATTTTGACGAGTCATAACCAATTAGGAAAAAAAAAGATATCTCGAATCTATTAGCGGACTTGTAACGAATGGAGCTATAGACTAAGTTTTATTATGTGTAGTTTGACCCTCCTTAGTTTTACTATTACAGTTTAGTTTTAGTTTATAACCTATTTTCATTTTCACCCCTGATAGGCTTGCTTTATATTCTGTAAGCATGGGATTGTAAAGGAATGTTGAATGAAAAATCTGAATTTTGATCTTTAACTTTCTTTTCTCTTTCTCTTAATTTCTCTTTCACGTTTCAATAGCGAATCCACCGTGAGATTCGCTACAATAATTGGTATCAGAGCCGACAATTCTTGGCCCCAATTCCGCGACAATGTTTAACCAGGGTTACTATCAACCACCGCAAGTCTTGGCTACTGCACCCATGACTGATTTCCATTTATATGGTTCACCAAATTTATACGGTTATGAGTATTACCATGGGTATTCACATCCTTACTCGTATCAGGTTGACAACATCAATCTGTGGTGTCGATGAATGCCTCAACATTAGACAACTTGCTGAAGCCTAGCTATGGCAATTTTGAGACCAACGAAGCAACTCCAGGGAAGGTGATTCATTCAATCCATTTTCCTACTGTGAATCCATCACTTGGTTCTGTTTCTTTCGAAACCCTAGCCCCCAAATCAGAGAACTCTGATCTCGCAACATTTTCTCTACCCTATCGATACTCTAAGCATAAAAGAGGTGCCATCGGTGGCATGAAGAATGCTTGGAGGAAGAAACGCAACTATAAGCTTGGCCGACAATCTGCTACAGCCAAGTTTTCAAGACAAAAGACGGCCAGGCGAGTTCATGTACAAGTTAGCAATTGTGAATGGGCGACCAAGTTTTCTGTTGGCCGGGATATATTGAAAGAGGACCAGCATTTGGCTGTACAAGGAAATAGAGAAATCGAGGTTCAGGTGTTCAATAAAATTTCTCAACAGATAAGCAAGGGGATGATAGTATTGGGAATGAGTTGCTGGAGGTCGAAGAAGATTTTAAAAGTAGAGGAGGTGTCTATATTGCCCGCTGTCCATGAATGGGAGAGGATTTATGCACTAATTTGCAGTGAATATGAGCCTCATTTGGTCCACATCGAGGGTGAAGGCGAGGTACAAAAATATGAGGTCGAGGAAAATTTAGAAAATGATGTGGATCAGGTGTTTGATGAATTTCCCCAGCAGGAGGAAACTGGATTTTTGGGGGAACTTTAGTCCACGAAAGAAATGGAAGAAGAGAGCAGTGAGAAAATAGGTTCTCTACGCTTAGATAACATGCAAAAGCCTAGCGATGAATCTGAGTTTAACACTAAGTTGACAGAAAATCCGATCAGTAACATTCTTGGTTCTGCTCAATTTACTTCCTCTATAGTGTCACTTGGTTACAATTGGGATGGAATTGCAGTGTTTGAAGTTCCAGGTGATTTCAAATCTTACAATGGTCTTTTGGAGGCCAAGCATTTTATTCTTGGGAATAAAATGTCAGGGGATGATTATCAATATCTCAATCCTTCATTCTTGGATACTGGAAAACATGAAGAACCAGCTGATTGGGATAAGGATTCGCCGATGGAAGTTGAAAATATAAAGGGAATTGCAAAAAATAAAGCATGTAAGATTTTCGATGGTGGTCCCGAAAAGAATTGGAAGACTCCTATATATGATTCTTGTTCTTCTCATGAGGATAAGGAAGATTCAAAGCGCAATGGAGGAATGGTAGTTGATCAATCCACGCGAGAGGAGTTGAACGAAATTGAATGGCTCAAGGTAATTACTCACAGGAACTTCAGCAACAATTTGACAAGTTGGTTCGAGACAATTAAGCTGGTTCTTGAGAAGTTAGTTTATGAGATTTGTGATTAGTTGGGTAAGTCGAAAAGAAGCTGTAGCTAAGGGTTCAAGTCTAGGAGAAATCTTTGAAGAAGTGTCCAGTGATAATCGATACATTTGGTGGCTCCAACATGATTTCGACATGTTTAAATGTAATTTGTTAGACACGAGGCAAGAAACAATAATACTGGTGAATGTGGACAGCAATTTACTTGACACAGTGCAAGACACAGTTACTGGTGAACGTTTGGAGGGATGAGGGAGACAACCTTTATCTGTTGTTTGAAGGAAAGTATTCAATCAGAATGAATGCTGAAGTTGGAGTTGTAAGAAACTTTATCTGTTGTTTGAAGCAAAGTATTCAATCAGAATGAATGCTGAAGTTGGAGTTGTAAGAAATATTGAGCAATCTTGGAGCAGTCGGTTACCCTAGTTGAATACTGGAATCCTTCATATCCTGATGTCTTTAACTTTAATACCAAAATCTGTTTGGTGCATAAAGGTCTTCGAATACGGGATGAAGTTTGTCAGCATTGCGTGGGAACTTGTTATGAGATCACATGTTTTCATTATAAATGAACTTGTTTATCGACTTGACAATATTTCTGCAGTACTGGTGGTTACTTGCATTAGGCAAGAAATCCTCTGGAGCAGTTTAACTTTAATGTCCCTGCTCGTGAATTGATGCTTAATGCAGGGGTTTTAAGAATCAGAAGTTCTATGCCAGAGATCAAGAAACATGATCATCATTTGATTGAAATCACAGAGACATATTGTGGTATTCAACCTCACGCAGTTCACTGTGGTTTCATGTTTTACCTTCTTGGTAGGGATAGTGGTTTAGAAGAAGCTCTCAAGCTCTTTAAGGCTACGACAGTTTACTTGACTACTTTTGAGGTGTCATGTGCTGCTGGAGAAGATGATCACAGAGAGATAGTAGCTGAAGCTTTTGCCTTAAGGTTGGATGAGGAAAGAGTTTTCACATTTGATCCTGGAAAAGGCTATGGACTTTCGAGTGAGAATGCAATTGTTAGCCAGTTTTTAAGGCGGAACACAAGATATGAGAGCCATGAATTTGCTTATGGTAGCAACTTAATAGTTGAAGATGTTGCTACAGTTGTTATGCAACCAGGTGCTTATTGGAATATTTTCAATGAGGAAGGAACTACTATGGAAGTACTACCCATTCACTCCATAGAAGATGTATTCAAAAGACCTCTGTGGAATTCTTGTGTGAAGGCATGGGAGGCATGTAAGTGTGTGAGCTATGCAGTGGACAGTACTGCATTATTTAGGGGTTTAAAGAAGCTTTTCATTGACAAAGGAGTGCTTATACTAGATGCACCTTATGTTAGTGCAATTACTCTAAATCGTGCAACACCTGGAGCAATCAAATGCATTTTAAAGCTACTGGCGGGATCTGAATCATGCCAAGAACTTACATCTTCAGAGGGGGACCATTCTGAGATTGAAGTTAAGTGCAATTCTGGATCAATTCTGCGGGCGCAAATGGAAAGCTTGGTTAAAGAAGTGTATCCACATTGTGATTACCCGAAGAAGGGTATATTCCTTACTAAAAGGATGGTGTTTCTTTTCTCAGTCATTATGTATTAGTTCAAGAAAGAAAATTTTATTGGTTTGTTCAGAAATGTTCGACATGGATCTGTGTTCTCCTATTTGCAAATGGGGACAGTAATTTAATCAAAGCTTTTGAACTAGTTAACGTTGGAGAATTGGTAGTGGAGTTTGCTGTTCTACTGGTTTGTTCATTGTTCATTGGTTGTGAAAGCACAATTGTCTTGGTAGTTGCTGATTATATTCATTCCCAAAAGTGGGTGGCAGATAGCTTCACTGGAAGGAGCTTATAGTGCTGCTATTCAAGATGGTCGACTTTGCAAAGAAGTTACTGGAGAAGGTGCAAGACTACCTGCTCTTAGCTCCTTATTAGTGGTCTTTTGTGCATAAGTAAACAAAGGTATTGTTACTTTCTTGACTGATAGATTTGAACAAAAACTTGAGGAAACAATTTTTGATTTTGGCCCGGGAGATGGCACATTAATTGTTGGGTCTGCTATGGGGTCAAGAATGTTGCCTAGGAGGTGTCTTCAATTCCATGTAATGCCAAATGGCTGCAGTACCTTTCACTTCTTTTGCAGGTTGTCCGGCAGTTACTTTTCTAACCTTGAGGACAAGGTTGTTATAAGGGGGATGGAATGTAATGACTGGAGCTATAGACTAAGTTTTATTATTTTGTAGTTTGACCCTCCTTAGTTTTATTATTACAGTTTAGTCTTAGTTTATAACCTATTTTCATTTTCACCCCTGATAGGCTTGCGTTATATTCTTTAAGCATAGGATTGTAAAGGCATGTTGAATGAAAAATCTGTATTTTTATCTTTAACTTTCTTTTCTCTTTCTCTTAATTTCTCTTTCACGTTTCAATGGCGAATCCACCGTGGGATTCGCTACAGGACTGTATTCCGAAGAAAAAAAATCAAAATTTCAAGGAAAGTGAAGCTCCTGATTCTATAATAAGTACAGGAATCAAGAAACAAACTGTCTACAGAGTATTAAGCATGAGAATCACCTGTTTGTTAGTCAACATCGGACCATCACAAACACCAATGACAATGCGATCCTTTGCCAATTCAGCTGCTGACTACAAAAGAAAGGAAAACAACTCATCGCTTAAAGAGCTTTTCGTTTATTATTTGGAAGAAGAAGGGTAAAGGGTAACGGGAAAAACCTTAAGAAAAAGGCGGTGACCATCGTGTAAGCGATCAAAAGTACCTCCAAGAACAACGGCTGTGTAGGAATTAGGTGGGGATAAAGTGGACTTTTGGTTTGCTTCCTCCGTTATTGCCATCTGCTTCTTTACTTTCTGAGAGCTTAGGGACAAACTGACAATTAGATGTTGGGTATTTTAAGGATACAATTGTCTTCGACAGGATTCATTTCAGCAAGGGAAAAGGGCCATATTTTAGAAATAGTCTATAATTGTTTTCCGTTATACATTATGAAGAAAAATACCCCTACCAAACTCTAACGGTAGTCCACAGTGGCACCCAACACATCAATTAAAATACCAACGTGGAGTCCATGTCACTATTTTTTTAATAATATTTTTTGAAATAAATAACTAAATCCACTTAAATCTAATCACCCACTTAAATTTACAAAACACCATTGCTGAAAATACAAAATCCTAGCATAGAAAATTCCGGAAACCAAAATAATACAAAGCCTCCAAATTTATTCCTTTAACTAATCTTTCTGCAGAAACCTTTTTTTTAAGATAAATCACAATGATGGCAAAAAATTGCAGGAAGAGTGGGATCTTTACCGTTAAGAAAGAGAACTCAAAAGCCGCTTCAAAGAATCTTCACTAGGCATCAAAGATTTACAAGTGAAATCTTGGACTTAAGTCCCTCTATTATCGTAGTAATTTTCCATATGGGGTTTTAGAGATGGCTGTTGTAAATTACAATATGAACTAATTGAAAAATATAAAGAAAAATACCAAATAAAATCCCTGGAGAAACTTCAGCCAAAGTCTTGTACCGGAAGCCTCGATGAACAAATTGACTGACTGAAATGCTCTACCTTTGCCTCTACCTGAAGTAATGATTTAAGGAAGAAGGTTGGTGGAAGGCGACTGATTATAGGAAGAAGTTGATATCTGGCTATTTTATTTGGTGGCTGTTAAGGGAGGAAAGTTTGGTGGTGGTGATTTCTAATTTTTTGGTGGGGTTTTGCATTTTATAGGGTTGGTCGGTGGAGAAATGGTGGCGGTGACCGCCACCGGTGAATCTGATGAAGAAACCGTGTAGTTCAGGTGTTTGTGTAAATGTTTCACTGATGGGTTTCGCTTGCCGGAATAAATTTGGATGCTTTGTATTAAAAAATAATGAGCTGGACTCCACCTTGGCATTTTAATTGACGGGGTCTGGTGCCACTCTGGACTATCGTTAGAGATTTGTAAATTTGTTTACTGAGCTAACAGCAGGAGTATTTTTGGTTGTAAAACATAATGGAGCGCAAATGTAGACAATTTTCAATAGTACAAAGATAAATATGGCTCTTTCCCTTTCAGCAAATTGGTGAATTTATAGCGGGTTTAGCCAAACTTCTTTTTGGCAAAAAGTACTTCTTTTTGAAATGTGAAACTTTTAGAATAAAAAAATATGCTTTTCAATAGAAGCAGAATTAATTTTTGAGTAGTAGTAAATGATACTTCTTTCCAAATGTATTTTTTTGAAAAGTATTTTTTGACAAAAAAATATACTTAGAAGTCATTTTTAAAAGCTTAATCAAATACTAATTGTGACTCAAAAGTGTTTTTTAAGTTAATTAACCAAACACACACTGTTTCTCACTAAAAGTACTTTTTTGAGAAGCACTTTTTAGAAAAATACTTTTCAAAATAAGCTGATTTTAGAAGCTTGGTCAAACATGCTATTAGTCCCTATAGGCTGCCTAAAGGGGGAGTACCTGGAACCGATTCGGTCCGTATCAATACCAATACTGCTTCGTCCCGTCCGTGGCGGGGTTAGGGATAAGAGATTGGGGCTAAGGGGAAGGGGGGGTGGAAGGGATGCAAACGTTTTTGGCCATTGCCAACGACTATTTTTTTAAAAATTAACTGTTGTCTAATAGTCAAAAAATGGCTACTTTTAAAAAAAAAAAAAGTTAAGGGCATTGGTTCAGTATCCGGTACCGGTTCAGTACCTTAAGGATACCAACCGAACCGTTTTTATCGGTGCTTTGACCCGTCCCCTCCCACTTACCTTCCCCTTAGCCCCAATCCCTTGCTCCTACCCTCGGATCGGGACGGAGCGGTACTGGGACCGATACAGACCTGACCGGTTCCGAGTACTCCCCCTTAGACAACCCTACCCCATGCTATCATTTTAGGCACATTGGCACGTTTTCCAAAGTTTTATACTCACGTTTACTCCTTCCGTCCCAAATTAATTGTCATATCATCCTTCTCGTGAGTCAAATTATGTGAACTTTGATATTTTAAAGTATAGTTTTCATCATATTGACAAGAGAGTAGTACTTTTTTGTATTGAATATTTAAATTTTAATTGTAAAATATTGAATTGATTTAATTTAACTTAACTTCGAATATTAGTCAAATTAATTCTTAATAAGAGAAACATGACAGCTAATTTGGACGAAGGGAGTATTACAAAGAATACCAACAAAGAAGTTGGATATAAATTCAACTAAGATGGGAAATTACATCAATTGTAATAATTAAAGATGCCTAACGTTCCTTAATAAATAATGTACGAAAAGAATTGTCATGATATGTTCTCTACGCTATGGAAATTCAGGCTATTGAAAATAGTTCATGCGATTTCAAATATTGAGTTATTATTTTTTAGCGAACTGAATTTTGTTTCATATATTTGACATTTAAAAAGATCAAGTTGTTTTACTTTTTTTAATATTTAAATGTACCCTTACTATGGAGTGTTAATTAAACGGGAAAAGGGTCAAAAATATCCTTAACCTATTAGAAATGGCTCAAAAATGACACTCATCCACCTTTTGGACCAAAAATGCCATTGACGTTTCTTTTAGTATCAAAGTTGCCCCTTGAACTAACGTTTGACTTATTGGTTGTGTGGGGCTTTTTCAAAATCCACGTGTCACTTTCCGATTGATCAAATTAATGAATATAATTAATTAGACCCAACCAACATATTCTGATACCCATATTTCTATTAAACCCAATATCCTTTCATCATCTTCATTTTCACACATTTCAAGAAACTATGGTTCTTGACCTCCCTCTTTTTCTTTCAATTCGTTACTTCAGTTTTTTTTCTCTTCTTTTTTCTTTCAAGTTTTTCATCAAAATTTCATTTTTTGCTTTGTAAAAGGGTTGGTTCTTCTGGTGTAAGGGACAATACAGTTGCAAGCCTTTGTTCTAATAGCAATCTACATGTTATGAGATAGTTTGCAATGTTACTATTTTCAGTTGATGTTTGGTTCTTGTCACACCTCCTTTTTCCAAAGACAAGGGAGTTTTTCCAATTTAAGTGACATTATTCGAAATGAGATTATTTATGTGATTAGAGTCGCCACTTGGAATAATTATTATGGTGTCCCAAGTCATCGGTTTATTTTAAAATCCCAAATCGAGGAAATTGATTTTATTAATGGTCCGCAAACACAGAAGATCGGGTAAGGAATTCCGTTAACCTGGGAGGTGTGAGGCACTCCCGGATTCCGTAGTTTTAGCACGGTCGCTTAACAATTACACATGGCTTAATTATCTGAATTATTACATGTTTAAAACCTTTTATGCGTTACCGCTTCTATACTGGTTTTAATTATTTTAAACAATTATGGAATTTATTTGAACAAGTCGCGATGTCGCGCACTTGCTACTTTGTACACATCGCAAATCACGTCACGTGAAACGTACCCGTGATTCACAACGTGTTTATTTTAATTATTTGAAGTTGTGGTCAAGTCGCGTGAAACGCGCACTTGAGTTGGAATTTACGTATCATGACTATGCCACGGGAACCGTAACCATAGTCACGATGGTTTATTATTGATCGCGCCTAAAGCAAGCTACGATGTTCATGAGTTATTTTCCTAAACTACTTTGAGATTTGTTGTGAGGTCATTGATTATGGATATTATTAATTCAAATTAACTATCAAAAGTTCACTGCCTACTAAACTTGTTTCTACGCCAACTAAACGACAACTTGTCCAATTTAACAAACCTTTCTTAAACATTATAAAATGGTCTAAGCACTCGAGTACTCCAATTGCCAATTAACCCAGAAACCAACTCAATGACTATATCCAAACAAATATTAAGGAGACAAACTCCATGAATTTCACAATACAAAAGCATGTGTTCATAAGCATGGCAGTATATCAAACAAAAATGGAAGGAATAAACCTCCAACCAATTTACTTAACTTTTACACATATTTATCAAATAGCCATTCATGCTCCTTTCACGTCCTTTTATATCCACGCCACACAGTAGCTTTATTGATTCAAGTAAGTAAGGTATAAACAGCTACCGATCAAACAGAAATTAAGGCCAAATTAAACCAGAAACCATGGCTCTTGAAGTACTACGTTGGAAATTATTGAGTTCAAATAAATTTTCCATTTCAGAAAAGGGCCAAATAAGCAAAATCAAGGTAATAGACCCAATTCTCTTGTAGAATAAACCCACACCCAACGACCTAAATCAGACCCCATAGCCCACTAGCAGTAAACCCAAATCTCTTTTCGTTTTTTAGCTTAAACAAACAAAAACGTCATATCTCAATCTACCAATGAAATTAGACAAGCTTAATACTAATAAATAATTCATCTCAATAAATAAATAACCGAAACATGACAAAGCTCATGAGAGCTCAATAGATGACGTGAAGATTCAAACAAAATTTGCTAAGAAAAACTTCTATATTTGAAGGATGAGTGCAAAAAAAGGTAATAGGTGAGTAACGGACCTTTAGAAGCCTTTTCAAAAATGAACCTGGGTTTACACTTTTCTTAGCCGCGACTAACCGAGAACCTCCACGAGAACCTCAAAATCTCGTCGGAACTCAACTGCGC